AGCTGGAAAATGGAATCTTTTGCAGGCTGGGAATGAAAAATCTTGCTTTAAAATTATCTTGTGGATACGCCAATAAAATGGAAGAATAGCAGAATTCATCCTGCTGCTTTTAATGCAAAGGCTTTTTACTGAAGGAAGAAAATGTGTTTTCCTCGTGCTATGCATTAGTGCTGGCCGAGCTGCAGCATACGGTGGAGAGTGGGTCTTGCCTGTGCTTTGTTCCTCTGCAAGTGTTTTGAGGTGGTCAACGCTGCTCTTGTACAAGACAGACGCTGTTCTTATCTATAAAGAGCACTAGGACAAGGATTGTGCCTGGCTCCATGTTGCAAAGAAGACGCATTGCCTTACAAATGCATGTTTCTTCAGTCTGTCATAACTCCCCAAGCCATCCTTCCTACTGTTTTCCATCAGCAAAAGCGTGGCCAAAGGAGCTGGAAATCTCTTTGCAGCCTAATAGCTGGAGTGAGCTTGCCAGCACTGAGTGATGCAGGTGCGATGCCTGTACCACAGATCGCTCTCACTGTTGTTTCACTACTCAGATTCTGACCATGCTGAGTTGTGATATGCTGTTCCTCAAAGTAACTGTGTTGGTCAGCCAGTGGATGCTACTACAGTTGAAAATGCAACTGTTTAGCATCTCGCTTTGCATTTTTCTTTCAGCTTGCCTGCAGCATGCATCCTGAGAGCTTCTCTAAATCATCCAGGGCTGCAAACACTCTCACCCCAAAATGCGAGTCCCACAGGGAGTATTTCGTGTCCAGGTTGCTCTCTGCTGCTCCTCAAATTTCTTTCTAAAGATGCTGAGGACTGTTTCACTTCACTTGCTACCTGAACGCTCTCCCCAGCTTTAAAAGAGAAATAAATAAGTTGAAAACAACTGGAAAACAAACCATCCCACTCAGCCTTTTTAAAGACTGCAGAACCCAGAGGATGCTTAGAACCATTCCAGAGGCATTCAGTCACTCCAAGTCAGCTGCAGTTCCTCACCAGTTACTGAGCTGGCTCCCACAGTCACTGCTGGTGTAGGAGATGGTGGAGACCAAGGAGAAAAGCTTATTCCCCTCTCTTGAGTACTCAGTTCCCCATCTGGCTAAGAGAGCTGGCTGTCATCACTATTCCCCTCTTCTCCAGTTAGGCATTATGCAAGGCTCCAATATGCTTTAGGAGTGAGGCCACAGAAAATACAGTTGGGGAATCAGGAAGGGTGTGGGGAAAGAACAGAGATGAACTGTAACCCACAGTGCATTTTATATTTAAAATATCCTATACTAGTAAAAATATGCATGAAAATTGCAAGTTCAGATTTAGATTAATTTTATAGCAACCTAAAATTATGGTTGTCCTTTAAAGAGCAACCACTAATGGTCTGAATTTCAGAGACAAGTGAAGGGAGGAACAGTAAGCTCTGAATGGAACATGAGAGAGAGACAGAAAGAAAATATCTCCCAATAAACTTTCCTAGTAAATATGGGTATTTATGAGACAAAGAGGCTGCAATTCTTGGCCTACCACTCAACCAGGATGTACAGGTCTGCAGCAAGCTTCTGGCTGAGTATTTGCTTCTCTCTGCAAGAATTCAGACTAGCTGGTAGCAGCAATTTCTGTCCTGAAATCCAATCCATAGTTCTAAGAGACTATCATGTTGTCATGGCTGAGTGAGACAAGGAATAAACTTTAATAGTGTTAGCAAATAGAGTGATACAGCTGAAAGCCTGGGTTTGCATTTCTGTGCTGGAGAAGACATAATTTCACAGTCATTTTTACCCTCATTATAGGCAACTGACAACTTCCCAGTGAAGTTGGTGGGCAGATATCAGACCTCTTACTGTGAGCTGACAGATGAATAATAAGCTGCTACATAGGAGAAAGTGATTTACCCTGTATATTAATAAAGATTATCTTTTAACAGCTCTATAACATCAGGGATTCTTTAAAAATACAGCACCGGCAGATTAAGATGCATAAATGACAATGCCTTGATATGAAAAAAGGAAAGATATTCTGGTGAACACCCTCCCACTAAAGCTGCTTTTCTTGAAGCAGTGGAGAGAGCAGAGGAAAGGAGAAAAGCCTGGAAATGGGGGAAAGGAGGCAGGAGAAAGAAGTTATCCAAAGATGAATCTGCTATTACTTGTAAGACCCCTGTGTTATCACCAGCTACTTATAACTGGATTTGCTAGAGACCATTCTGCTGAGCATTGGGCCTTGCTTTTTTTCTTACTCTCTTGTTGTACTCAGAAACAGCAGCGATGCTGCAATCCTTGAAGTACCTGTGCATAAAAGGAAAGCCCACAGGGAAGCCCAGCATGGTTTTTAACATGCACTTTATGTGCAAGGAGTGAAACCGTGGTTCATTACCTGTCTCCAGCCACTCCTTAAAAGCTGAAGAGCTTTTCTTTGTGTTTGTGTGGCTATGTTGCCATGGCAGCTGCTCATTTATTAGCTGCAGCACACATTAAAGAAGGCTGTGTAACTAGATTGTGTGGAAGGTGAAGATGCATGCACATTTCTGTTTGTAAAGCAAAGTCAACAATCTCTTTCCTGAGAGCAGGTAATGGAGATGCCAAGCCAAAACAGAAACTGCCATGTTTTTAACCATAAAGCAAGAATGACTAATGACTTAATTGCACTGATGTATGTAACTGTGCTCTGATATGTCTAACTACGCCAGGCATCTGATAGTAGATCATTCACTAAAGATGGGACCGAAACAACCATTCTCCTCTCAAATTTGAATAGCCAAAACCTTTGGTAACATTAGATGCTGTATTCAGACTGGGATTTAGGGCCAAACATAATCACCGATGCCATCAAGGGAAGGGGAAATGGAGGGAGAAAAATGAAATACATAAGGTGTTTGGCTTGCATCAGAACTGAATTAGGCCCAGCAAAGGTGGCCATTAGCTGACTTTGGCTTGTACAGAAAAGCCATTTGAGTCTCAGGCAGAGGAATCAAACACAGAAAGGGGGAAAATTAGACAGGTTACTCCTTGATGTTAAAGAGTTACCAGACTTCCATGGGAAGCTCAAGAAGGCTGACATTTCTCCCCATGAATTTCCATAGTGTGGTAAAACAAACCCCAAACCATTCTTCTTGCTTTGCTCTCACTGCAAGGGTATGGCCAGCGAGCACTATCAACAGCTTACAGGTATGCTTAGGCTATCATAGAGCCTGGCTTTATAATTTCCCCCTTTCTTTTTTTAACTCCCAAAGTAGCCACAGGCAGGAAAGAAAACTACAGTAGGATGACCCAATGGTGGGAACGCATGCTAGCACAATTTAACCTACTGGGTGGCAGAAACACTAAACTTGGTCTGAATGAAACACCAACAGGACCGTGCCTATGAAAGCACCACACAGGTCTTGATGTTTCCGAGCACGCGGTGTGGGAGTGCAAGGGAGTGACAACTGGAACACAACTTGTTAGTGACTGAAATGAGCCTTGTTTAAAACAGACACCGCTCTCCCCTTCCATATGGTCTCCTGCTGAGTTCTGTGAAATTGATTTTGTGCATGCTGCTTTGGGAGAAGCATCAAGGAGCAAGCGTTTCGCATTTCAAAACGTGTAGCACATGACCAGGGAACAAATCTGTCAGTACCTTCGCTCTGGAGACTACGCTTCAGGCAATTCTCCTGCTTCAGGTGCTTTTAAAGAAGGTATTTCTCTCACCCATTTAAGTCCCCGGGATCACTGCCGTATCACGGTGCTAAACCAGCAGGACAGGCTGCAAGATTTGATAGAGCAGAACGGTGCTGCAGAAGGTTTTAAAGTGTTGACACATACTAATCAGAGGTAAGATGGGAAAATCTTGCATCCCTTTGCAGATTAGCAATGAAAGAAGTGCCATTTGGATGAAGTCAGATGACACAGGAATAAATCTTTTCAAAACCAAAATATTAGCCCAAACATTGACACAATCACTTAAATGAAAACCTCCCAAGCCCCTTTCAGTAAAACACATGAATTTGAGAGTTTCAGAAGCTTTGTTCTTACTCCAAGATGCTTATGAGTGGAGATTGATTAAATCCATTTTTTCCTTCCACAGCAGTTCTGGTTTCATACAACACAAACACCTCCAGAACCCCTGGAATTAATGAAATGGGGTTTCCTACAAAGCTGTGCCTCCTGTCTCCTTTCCTTCATTGCCTAACCTTACCTTAGCACTTTTTGTGTTTCACAGACACAGTTCTTCCCACTGTTACAGACAACCTGCTATTTTTAAGCAACTTGCATGTTGACCCTTTCCTACTCACTCCTCCATATGGGATAAGTTCTTGGTACTGGGGCAGGAGCATTAGAGGTCTGTAAGACACAATATTGAGCACAATGAGTTTCCAGGCTATTTCCAATCCTCATCATGATCATAGAATCATCACAGAATCCCAGACTGATTTGGGTTGGAAGGGACCTTGAAGCTCATCCAGTTCCAACCCCCTGTATACATCTGAATACATGCTGGCTAAAGATGTCACAGTGAAATGCTAGGTTTTCCTTTCTATTAGTTTTCAATTTGGAGGAGCACCTAAAAAGCATATAACTGAGGAAGGGGAGGAATGGCAGGAGGAGAACATATACACAACTCGCTCTTTTTGCTGTTTTATTACTCTGAAGCCACAACTGCCCCTCTCCATTTGCTGTGGCCACTTTAGCTTAACTAGAACTAACTCCAATTTCAGTGCATGAAATCCTGCCACTATTTTTGCCCCAGCGTCTCTGCCCGCTATACACCTGGCAGTACTGCAGGGGATTTCACCTGAAGACAAGAGGCTGAAAAACTGGCTTGAACTGTGGTGATGCTAGCCCAGAGCAACCACATGCACAGATGAAACAATATGTCTTAGCTAGGAGACAATAACTAACAGCTTAATACGTCTAAGCCAGGAGGCAGTAACTAATGGCTTAGCTGGGAGCACGGTCTGCTTATGGGAGTTACAAAAAGCCCCTAGTGTTAGCTCTTAGTATTAAGAAGCCCCACTCTCTTTTGAAAACTGAATTTACCTCCTATGAACAAAGGGAGGAGAGCAATGCCAAGCTGCAGGGACTGAGCGATGCTCCTCTCCAGCCACATCTGGAGCTTGACTGCATGGGGCCTAGCATCCCTTCACAGCTGAGATGGAAGCTCAGTCGTGGGGGAAGCATAAACACCTGTGAACTCTGTTTTGGGAGGTGTAGGCTCTTATGTTGTTAGAGATTTCTGTTCAAAGAGAATGAGAGGCACATTGCCAGGGTGGGCTGGCCTTCTGAGCAAACCCTGAGAGGGTCAAACCTTAACTAAGGACTGCTGTAGCTACAGTCACAGCTCAATGATTTGAGCAAGAAGTAAGTCACAGCATGAACACAGGTTCTGGTCTTCATTGAACACACAGCCAGAGCATAATTTAAGTAGCTTTTGTGGGATTTATGCTTACTGAACAACCCCAGATACTGTCTTCTGAACTTGTATTTCCATGCAGCTGATTCAGCTGAGAAAATCTTTCTGCTTTAAATCCATTAGCTTTTTCCATTAGAGAGAGCAGCCTCTATGTAACTGTTTTGCAGACAAGCTAATGGAGATTTTCTGATTACCCACTTACTGACTTATGAGACAATCTATGTCCAACTTGGCCACAGACGTTCAGCAGTCACTCAATTTTCTTCCCACACAGCTGTCTCCACCCATGTTATGCCCTAAAAGAAGGGGATGAAGTTTTAGGTTATTAGGGGTAATCAGAACAGCTTACTGTGTTTCAAGTCAAAAAGGGAGTGCAGGAATCACAACTCCACATTACCCTCTCTACCCACTGTGACAGCAGCTAAACACTGGGGTCAACAACATCAGTGTTACAGCATGAAGCCAGCCTGCCAAGCCTCAAGCAGAGCAGGAAATTCACCCTATTTTGCTTCTCTTCCAGATCTCCCTTGGCAGTACTGATGCATACCCCGCCTGCCACCCAGGTAAAGGTCCTGTGAGCTGAACAGTTATGTCCACATCATGGCATCCCAAGGGCACAACTAGGATTCTAGGAGGAGCCATGCCTAAGCACCAATCTAAATGCCTACAGGTTTCCTACTTTTCACTCTCCTTACCCTACTCCCAGCCCTAACTGTAACCCTAAGCCTGGACCAACATTTCTGCCCTGCGATGTGCTGAGCCCCTGGGTGCCAATTGCTGGTGGGAGGGTCTTGCAGGCAGGAAGCCTTTGCTCGCACAACCCGATCCACTTTGGAGACGATGTGTTTAAGTAACCTCATGCACAGCTTGGTGGAAATACACACTTGGGTAAGTTTCGATCGTGCAGGCACTGGAGTGGGGGACCCGAGCATCACTTTGTTAATAATGTGGTACTTCTACTAGTTAGCAAAAAAAAAACAACATTGCAAAGGCAAAAACCAAAGAGAAGGATGCACAAACAACCCTGGGCTTCGCCTTGCTCTTAGAGATGATAAGAAAGCCCCCCTTTTTGTTTCATTCTAAGCTTGCTATGAAAAGCCTTTTTCTCCTATTTCAGATATATGAAAACCTGTCAGGATTTAGACCTAGTAGTGAAGTAACCTAAAAATACCTCCCAACGGGCATCTGATGCTAAGCATTAGAACAAGGAAGCACAGCACCTATTCTCCTGTTTGCCTGGCCAAGAGAAGGTCCTGACTGATGCATCTAATGCCTGTTTTACCAACGTACTAACCTCCTCCCATCACTTCCTTGCACTGCATCCGTACCAAGCTCACGGAAGCAGATACTCCGTACCCACCATAGCTCTTCCCCGCCAATGCTGAACAGGCAAAAACAACTTATAAGCTGCCCAAGCGCATCGCTGTTCCTCCTGCCGCCGCACCGCCCTCTCCGTTACAAAGCACACAAGAAGGACGGTTCCCGCACAAGGTACCCAGCCCGGGCCATAGCGGGAGCCGCAGCAGGCTCACACGAGCAGGCATCAACGCAAACCCCCTCCGCTTTCCGAGCGGGGAGGCGGGCTCGGCAGCAGCAGCAGGTCCCGCAGGATGTGAGCTCACGGCGCCGCCTCTTCCCCGTCCGCCTCTCGGTGCCGGTTCCGCCGCCCGCAGTCCCGCCTCGCTCCATCCCGGCGCCGGAGCTGGGCCGGGGGAGCCCCGGCGGGGCCCACTTGTGGCCGGGGGAGCGGGGCTGCGCTGTGCGGGGCAGCGGAGGGAGGTCCGTGCGGAACCCGCGCCGTGTTGTTGCGCAGGCAGCGGCGGGAGAGCCGCGGTGCGGTGCGGTGCCGCCATGGGGAACCAGCTGGCTGGCATCGCCCCCTCGCAGATCCTGTCGGTGGACAGCTACTTCTCGGACATCCACGACTTCGAGTACGACAAGAGCCTAGGGAGCACCCGCTTCTTCAAGGTCGCCCGAGCCAAGCACCGGGAGGGGCTGGTGGTCGTGAAGGTGTTTGCCATCCAGGACCCGACCTTACCCCTGACGAGCTACAAGCAGGAGCTGGAGGAGCTGAAGATAAGGCTACACTCGGCACAGAACTGCCTTCCCTTCCAGAAGGCCACCCTGTCCGAGAAGGCTGCAATGCTCTTTAGGCAGTACGTGCGGGACAACCTTTACGATCGCATCAGTACTCGCCCGTTCCTGAACAACATTGAGAAGAGGTGGATTGCTTTCCAGATCCTCACTGCTGTGGACCAAGCGCACAGATCTGGAGTCCGCCACGGGGACATTAAAACAGAGAACATAATGGTAACCAGCTGGAACTGGGTTCTTCTAACTGATTTTGCCAGTTTTAAACCAACTTATCTCCCTGAGGACAATCCTGCCGACTTCAATTACTTCTTTGACACGTCAAGGAGGAGGACGTGTTACATCGCTCCCGAGCGCTTCGTCGATGGCAGTATGTTTGCCACGGAGCTGGAAAACATGCGGGACCCTTCAACTCCTTTGGTGGACTTGGCAAATAGCAATCAGCGAACGAGAGGGGAGTTAAAACGTGCAATGGATATCTTTTCTGCAGGTACTTGGAGCCATCAGGAGGGACCAGCCTGGTGTTTATGAGTGTGTCAGGGTGCAGACCCAACCCCAAACCTTTCATTCACAAAGTACACAATACAGTAAGCTACATAACTTCAGTGCATCACCATGGTATCTAAGAAGGGAAATCACAAACTGTCCTATTATGGTTCAGCTCTGCCCTGGGAAAGAGATGGTTCTGCAAGGCACAGACCATCACCACCCTGTGGCTGAGGTTACAGGGATGCATAGTGTATGCCTCATGGGACCCAGGAGGAGGTTAGTCAGTGGTTCACCTAAGGTCTAGCTGGCTGGGGGTTGAGCCAGCTTTCAGTTTGGCAATGCTGGCTTTAGAAGTCCCTTCTCATTTCATTGTCCCCCCCAGGCAGGAAGTTGGATAACTCCATAAGCTCCTGCCATACTCTTGCTCACAAATACTTGCTACAGTCAGACTGCGGGGGTCTGCTTTGAGTCTTGGACTTGTCTTGAGCAGTTAGCCACAAGTTTGGTTGGGTTTTCTGTTTGTGTTTTGTTTTGTTTTTCTTAAAGTGTTTGAAAATCTGAATTTAAAGGTAATGGTTTCTTCATTTTGCAAGCTGCTCTCATGGCTGAACTTACAGGGCACTCCACTGATAAGATGCTGACTTTTGGGAGCAAACTGCAGGCATGGGACCTGAATAGAACATGGTTAATGTACATGATGGGGGGGGCTGTGTTTGGAAGTCATGTTGTTTCTCATTGGGCATATAAGCTTGTGTGAGTGAATATATGCTGTGTCTCAGCATCACTGTGGAAGCAGAGGTTGTTTCTTTACCTTCTGTTAAAGGACGGTGTAGTTTTGACCTACTGCCCGATCTGTGCTGAATTACTGGTGCTGTTCTGCCACGTGACAGTGATGTAGGTTCCTTTTCTGGTGGGGTGTTTTCCAGCTGGCAGGTGGCTGAAGGCACTGCCCCATGTTTCCTGATTGCAAACTGCTCTGCTGTTGGCATGTTTGAAGTAAAATACTTTGGAGATATTTCAGGGACCAAGCGTGATAAACAGTTTTTAGAGCTTGAGATGTTACCTCCTTTCCACAATCTAGCAACTCATTTGCCTTATTTTTAATCGAGCTAAGAGTCACGTAGTGTTTATTCTTATCTGCACATAGAAAGCAAAACTAAAGTGTTTATAATCCTCTGGCATCTTTGACTTTTTGGGGTTTTGTTTTGTTCCCCAGGCTGCGTGATAGCTGAACTCTTCACAGAAGGTGTACCCTTGTTTGATTTATCTCAGCTTTTGGCTTACAGAAATGGCCTCTTTTCCCCTGATCAAGTCCTAAACAAGATTGAAGACCGCAGTATCAAAGAACTGGTAAGTTTGGACTACAGCTTTAGATTTATTTCTGTGGTCTCTTTGTAGCTTTTCCACCTACTCTGGCGACAAACCACTTACTGCTTGGGTTTGGGTTTTGCTTCATTTTGTATTACAAATGTTTAAACCTTTAATCTTTCTCTCCCATTCTCTCCTACTCCTGCCTATCTCAAGGTCACTCAGATGGTCCATCGTGAGCCAGATAAACGTTTAGCAGCTGAAGATTATTTGAAACAGCAACGTAACAATGCATTTCCTGAAATATTTTACACTTTCCTTCAGCCTTACATGGCCCAGTTTGCCAAGGAAACGTTTGTGTCAGCAGATGAGCGCATATTGGTCATACGTAAAGATCTGGACAACATCGTTCACAATCTCTGTGGGCATGATCGCACAGAGAAAGCCGAGGGAGAGACAAAAGAGAATGGGCTGGTTATTCTAGTGTCTGTGATAACCTCCTGTTTACAGACTCTCAAATACTGCGACTCCAAACTGGCTGCTTTGGAGCTGATTCTTCATTTAGCACCAAGATTAAGCGTAGAGATTCTTCTGGATCGTATTACTCCTTATCTGTTACATTTCAGCAACGACTCTGTGCCCAGGGTGAGGGCAGAATCCGTGAGGACACTAACTAAAGTTCTTGCTCTTGTCAAAGAGGTGCCACGCAATGACATTAACATCTACCCAGAATACATTCTGCCGGGTATTGCACACTTGGCCCAGGATGAAGCCACCATCGTCAGACTTGCATATGCTGGTAAGAGGAAATCCAGTCAAAACTCCTAATCTTCAGCTTTTCTGTCTGTCCTTAACTGTTTTCTCCTCTGCTCAAAATCATCACATAGCTTGCTGGTTTTGGTTCAGTAAATCTCCCCGGAAGTCTCAGAAATGACTGCAGGTAAAGACAGCTGTACTCACTTAAGGTTGGTGGCAGCAGCTAAATGATTAATGAGTTGAACACTTAGCAGGTGAGTTTCCAGTGTAGAAGTGCACCCAAACTAAGTAATTGCATTTTAAATAGTTGACACAATGTGTTTGCTCTCTGATAGATGAGTAAAAGTTTTTGTTGTGGGTTGTTTTTTTTAATTAACATTTAGTCTTCACTGTAGTTTTGCACATAAAAGCAACTTGCAGAGTGTGTACATGTGCTTTGGGCTAGGGCCTGGATAGAGCACGCAGTAGGTATGCCTACAGATAAGGAAAGGGGGAGAATTTAGGGAAGCAGCCCTGGCTTTATTCCCTCGATTAGCAAGAGCATAATGAAGAAGTCTTTATGGGGCTAATTATGTGAACAGGGCTTTCTGAGCTTGCCCAGCCTTTGCTGCTTTTATTAGTTAATCTCAGTTGACATTTCATTAGCTCACATTGTTTGCTTAGAGTGGCCTGATTGAACTGAATAAATATGAAATTAACTTAGATCATCTGTGTGTTACTATGCTTCAGAGTTATTTTCCCACAAAAAGAAATTTGATATTCAGGGGCTGAAATTACAGTATCTGCTATGTAATAGACTGGCTTACACTGTAGCAGATGCTTTCTTCGTACATTACTCGGATATGAGTTCTGCCTGGTTTAGAAAGAAGCCCTACAGTTATGCCCATATTTATTATTTATCATGTACCTCTATCTGCTATGACTAGCATATTTTTAAGTGTGTTGCTTTGTTGTTTGGTTGAGTTTTTTCGTTTTGCTTTGGTTTGGGGTTTTTTTCCCCCCCAAAAAAACATAAATGCAGAATCCAGTTGAAAAAGTCTCAGGTGATTTTTTTCTTCTGTTTACTAAGCTGATAAAACTAATTATTACAGACAGTGTATGGTTAATGAATAGGACTGCTTGCTTCTGATCACCTTGATCTTCCACATTTAGGTCTTTATGAAAGAACCATGTTTTCATGTCTCACTTTTATTTGTAGATTTAAAAAAAAAATCTTCTAAAATTATAGTATATTCATAATGAATTTTTAAATTAAGTAAGATCAGGCTGAAGTTGTTGAATAAACTGAAATGGAGGAAACAAAATGCAGTCTCCTTTATGCAAGTGCAAAAAGGGTGCAGGTCTCAGTACCCATAGACTCCAGTTGCATCTGTTTACGCAGAGAATTCTCTCTGTGTTCAGTGGTTTGACTTTGACTTTATTTTCAAACCAAGAGCAGCTACAGTATTATCTGAACTTTGAAAAGGCTGTTTGAACTGTAGATGGTCAGGGCTGATTAAGTTGCCTTAATTTTAAATAGCTTTTAAGAAAGCAATTTAAATTTCAAATATATATATATATATGTTTAAAGGTAGCCTAATACTTGAGTTAACTTGTATTCCTATAGGACACTTCTTGGAAGTGCTCAGGCTGGTGACTTGATCTGGGCTGTGGTCAGGCTCCATTGGCGTGCTGCTGTTGTCTTGACCAGCACTCAGAACGGCTGCTTAAGTAGGACTTCTATCTCAGTGAGATTATTCCTGTGCCAGCACTGGCCTGACCCATATAATATAACCTGAGTTGCTTCAGCAGATCCCCAACAGTGCAGAACAGTGCCAAATCATACAGAGGTATG